GGTGTTGTGGCCATGCTGCGGCGCTCTGCCGGCAGGGTGTTGCCTGGACCGTTGCCACCGCCCGGCCGTGAATCCCCGGGAGTGAGACAGGCCTGGGGAGGTGGGAGGGACCACCCCCGCTGCCCTACAGAAGTCCGCGGGGCTGTAGTGTTGGCAGCCCCTCCAGTAACGCTTGTCACCTCCTGGGTGTCCCTGCTTTGGTTTGGGGTTGTCTTGTCTAAAGACCTCCCGCAGCAGAGGTGCGGCATTGCCCTCCGATCGGTGCCTAGTGGCAGGTGTGTGTGTGGGAATATCGGGCAACGGTTTCTGGGTATTTGATGCATTTGCAACCTGAGCAAAACCTGCATTTCTTTACTACGATTGCACTGCAGGTGCTTGAAATGTAAGTTAAGACTGAAAGGGAGGGGCCTAGTGTGGTCCAATATTCTGTTCCTTGGCACTGCAGCAGCATGGAGCGCCAGTTTGCTATATACAGCAAAAATTAATTGCACTCCATATCTGAGTGACTTTGATTTTTGCATTTTTACAGCTCTTTGTATTCTCTTCTTAACACATTAGCTAGGGAGAACTTTATGACTTTTCCCTTTTTGGTTGTTTAATTTTTGAAGTGCTCTTCATTGCAATAGAAACGAATGGTAAAATTGATCTTGGGACCAGTCCTTGAGGACCTCCCTATTGTGGGTTAACCCCACTGAGTGCTATTGCCACACAGCTGCTTGCTTGCTCCCTCTGCGGTGGGATGGGCAGAGAACCAGGAAAGCAAAAGTGCAAAAACTCATGGACTGAGATAAAGACAGTTTAATAGGTAAAGCAAAAGCCATACATGCCAGCAAAGCAAAATTGGGAATTCATCCACTACTTTCCATCAGCACGCAGGTATTCAGCCATCTCCAGGAAAGTGAAGCTTCATGCATGTAGTGGTTACTTGAGAAGACAAATGCCACGACTCTCAATGTCCTCCTTTCTAACTTCCTCCCCCAGCTTTATATGCTGAGCATGACATCATGTGGTATTGGATATCCATTTGGTCAGCTGGGGACGGCTGTCCTGCTGTGTCCCCTCCCAGCTTCTTGTGCACCCCCAGCCTCCTCACTGACAGGGCAATGTGAGAAGAGGCCTTGATGCTCTGTAGGCACTGCTCAGCAATGGCTGAAACATGGGTGTGCTCTTTGCACTGTTTTGGTCACAGATCTGAAACATATTTGACTAGCTGGTTTTGCATCTTACATGAATACCTCTATTCTTTCAAGTAAATCTTGTCCTTTATGATGTAATGCACAGTCTTCTTACAGTCTTCTGTTTTCTGTGACCAGAAATTCAGTTATCAGACTCACTGACACAGTGTCTTTAGTGAACTGATGCTGCCTTTTATTAAACTTATATCTTACATCGTTTATACTTAAGCTTGTTTTGCATTGTGCTGTAAGGATGTTTTTCTTTCAGAATTTACTTATAAAATTTATGTGTTAGAGAAATCAAGTTACTGTATCTTTTATTATCCAGTACTTTTTTCTTAAATGAACATATAGTTGCTGTTTTTCATTTATGTGGTACTGTTGCTGATTGAGCAGATTTATTGAAGATTTTTATGTTTGTAATTTGATGGACGCTTCAGTGTAATCTGTTTGTCAGTTTCAAAACAAGGCATCAATGCTGTTCTGAAAGGGACTATTCTCTTATATATTATATATATTCTAGGGAATCTAATGACGTGGCTTGAAAAATAGACCTTTTCCATATAGGTGACAAACTCATGAAATGTTTTCCTCAATAAATGTGTATCCAAGCATACAAATCCACAAAACCACATCCTGCTGTTTAAAAAAATAAAAAAGTAGAGCAGTTAGAAGAAATTTAACTGTTTGTGATGGAAGTTGTTCATATTGAATGTGGCATACAAACCTCTTCAGTTTGCCAGTGCAGTAAACTGTGTGGAATATGGCTAGGAAAGAGCTTATTTGGAGAGGTGCAGATCTGGAAAATGATGCACTTAGAAGTGACACATAGACTACTGGCTTGCTGTGGTGGATTCCACAGCGCAGATGGAGGAAGAAGGTAGTACCCAGCATAAAACTGCTGGGAGACTCTCGGAGAAACTGTTAGTCCTGGGAGCAGGTAGAAAAGACACAGATGAGAGCTGCTCCCTTCTTGCCCCTCTTTGATCACCCTAAATTCCATTGAATAGCAGGTTCCTAAAGTTTTTGGTTGCTTTTGAAGGCATATAGCAACCAAATAGGAGAATGCAGGCCTAGAGATTTATTGCAGTGTAGGTAGTATTAGCTTCTTGGAGAGCTGTCTCTGTAGACGATGCATTTTAAAGATTGGCCACCTGGCTCTCTCTGAAGATTCAGGACGAGTGGATTTGAGGGAAGTCATACAATTACATTTCCTGAGTGCAGTAGTTGATGACATACAGCACAATGTGTTTGTTGTGTGGTCTGCAAGAAAAGTAAAACCAAATGTGAAAATATCTTGCATATTTATCCTTCCAATCTAAGGCATTCCTTCATAGCTGCTCAAACCTGTATCTGCAGTGTCAGTTACTTTCCTTGTTTTGTTTTCTAAATCATGAATGGGTTTTGTTGATTATCAAGGAAGTAAAAATTCTCTGAGCATAAGCTGGTTTTTCTAAAGTACAGTTTCCACTAAATTGTATTAAATTTAACTGTTCAGAAATCTGGTGTGGCAGTCTGATTAAAAACTCCACAAAACACAGGTGGTATGGAGAAGATGAATGAAGAATTACTTTTCCACTGTCTCTTGGTGTAAAAAACCAAAGGTTGTCAAATGGAACTTCTTGGAAGGGTCTCATTCAAAACACACAGACTGGCAGCATGTAGCAAGTTGGCTGAACTCCTTGCTGAGGGATGTTCTGCAAATGAAAAATCTAGATGAGCTCACAGTGTGTGACAAATTGACTCAGAAAAGTCTGCCGAGGCTGTTTAATACAAAATTACGATCGGCAGCATTTGCCTAAGTCACAGATAGCTGGAGAGGATTTGGAAAAGTTTCACTGTATGTTTATGCTTTTCTTATATTCTTTCAAAGGCATTTGCTTCTGACTGTTTTCAAAGATGACTAAGTGAACCTTGGATGTGGTTGTCCTTATGTACAGAAACAATGCATAGTTCCAATATAAAATTAAAATAACTCTTTATGACTCAGTTGTAATTCTGCTGCAGTCTTATTGTGAGCAACAACCAAGGAGAAAAGCACTGGAGGAGTCTGCAGGTTTAGGAAGATCATAATGGTTGGCAGTTTTGCTTGCAGTTTGAAAATTATTTCTGTGGAAGGGATGGAGAAAATACATAAATAGAAAGCTTTCTGGGAAAACTAAAAGTTGTTGCCTCTAGAAGGCTACTTCTGACGTGTTAATTGTGAGCAGTAGAACAACAGCAGCCACTTTTGCTGCTGAGTTCTTTTTGGAATTCACAGTTTACCTATCATCTACTTGCAAATGTGTAAGGGCAGAGTTCAGGTTGATTGTAATATGTTGCATATAGCTTTATTAAGATGTTTTTAATATGTCACCTATGTTATGTGTGTTATTTTTATAAAGCTTTTATTGTGTTATGATGCTTGGTATTCCCAGCTGAAAGTAGAAAGCCTTCCAAAAAAGGAGGATGCGAGTGGGGAATGGACATGTGAGGTTAACATTATTGGTCAGCTAGCTTGTAACAGTAAAATTAATTAATAGTTGTTACTACTAGAAAATAATACACCAGTTCTTATAGCTGATCAGTTTATGAGGAAGTACCAGCTACAGTTTGGTTCTGGTGTGGCTTCTTCTGTATAGCTGTATTTTTCTGTAGCACTAAGCTTATACTGATTGGCACATAAAAGTATGTTGAAAGTAAGAGTTATAAAGTTGCTATAAAGTATTTCAGAATACTCTTTTAAATTTTCCAGCGATGACAAAGCTGATACCTCAAATGATGCTGGAGAAGCTAGCAAACCTGCAGACATGCCTGCACAGAGAAGAAAACGGATCTCTACCATGCCTAATCTTGTCAAACCCAGAGCTGGACCTTCATCTGCTCAGCAATCTGCATCAAAACTGCAGAGGAGAGCGTCACAGACTGCTGATGGCAGTGCTTCATTTCAGGATTCCTCTCAATCAGAAAAAAGTAGTGTTGAAAGCTCTTTAAAGTGTCCCATGCTGCCCGAAAAGAAAACACCAGTGCCACAAGTGCCACAGTTTTCACCACTAAAAAAGTCAGTGAACAAAGAGCAAACTGTAGGTGCAGCTGCTCAAAAAAGTGATGATATGTTGCAGAAGAATGTACCCTCCCCACTCAAGGAGAGACCAACACAGGAAAAATCAGGAATGCAAGAGGGAAAGCTGCCTACGAAACCTTCTTCTGTAAAAGAGAAACGAGTATGTTCTGACCGGGAAAGGATCCTCAAAGCTCGGAAGTTAAGAGAAATGCTTAAGGAAGAGCTGAAGAAAGAGCGAATGGTAGGCTATGATGAGCAGCTGATATGTGAAGGGCAAAGACTTGATTCACCTAACATACATTATGTCTTTGCAGTAGTGTTTTCTGGTGATCATCAGCTGCTTACTGCCAATAATCTGTGGTATCTCAAAACTCTGTGGTTTTAATCTGTTTATAAGCAGTAGTAGCACTGTGTTCTCTCATAATACATATTTCATAAGAAATTGTGTATCCTTTCGTTTGATTAGACCCATAAGTCTTTTTGATGTGAGACCTGGTATTATATTATAGTCAGCATTACCCTGGGTTTCCACTTCCTTCAGCCCCTGTGCCTGTTCATCTCAAAACCGCAGAAAACCTTGAGCATCACATACCAGCATTAGCTGAAAACTACAACAAAATTAAATAGTGTTGTAGTCCTTACAAAATCATAGTTTTCCACAACAGAAAACTGGCTCTAAAATTCTGTCTCAGTAAACCAGGACACTGAGTTCTGTGATTTTTTAAATAACTTTTCACTTTTACTTGTGCCAGTATTGAATTTCTCTGAGATGGTAAGTCACTTAAAGGTCTGTGGCATCCTCTCTGACAAGGGGACACTTTTAAGATAAACTTACTTAAGTTGTTGGGGGTGAGGGAGGGGAAAAAACAAAAATCCCTGAATGAGGTACTTCATAAACAAATAAAAATAGTGACTTTTGAGATATAAAGTACTTTCAGGGTGAATTTAAGGAGTTTTTTTCTTTCAATATGGAAACAGTTGAAACACAGGCCTCCAGTAATTGAAGGACATTCTCCACCAGATCGTTCTAAAATGACCATGAGGGACTTGATATACTATCTGCCAGAAAACAACCCTATGAAGTAAGTATGATTCTCTTTCTCTTTCCACAAGTTAAGTGATTTTGCTTTTTCTACCAATTTAATAATTGTGAAAAGGAGAATTCTTAAACCTGGAATATTTGCACAGGTGTAGTATTATTGCAATAGTAACAAAAGCTTCTAGCCATTTTCACATCTACTCAATCTTCATACAAAAGTAAGAATGAAGATTAGCGTACTTGTTGAAATCTAAAAATATAAAACTGTCCCCAGTATAAATTTTTCTCTGTACCAATGCAGGAAAACAGAATTTTATTTTTTTTACTGCTTAAAAACACTAGTTATGACTTCTGCCAAATCCAGTGGACTACAAAAAGCTAAGAATTTCTCCTTCCTGAGTGCCAAATGCAAAGATGTACTGCAAGACCCAGGAGTTCTCCATTGCAGCTGGATTAATTTAGTTGCTTCTCTTCCCTTTACGAGTTTCACCAATATCAAGGCTGAGTGTGCATCCCAGAGGTGCACATAAACACACTAACACAGGTGGCTGCACAGACTACCACAGGCAGAGCAGGGCCTTTTCCCTGTGACTACCAAAAACAATAACATAAACATAAGTACAGCTATTCCTGTCCTGTTCTTCCTCTCAGTAGCAGGTAAGTTTTCTGTTATTGTTTGTTCTCACCTGCTTGTTAGTGTTTGTATGCTTTGTTTATTTCCACTTTCCTTGTTATTTTTTCTTTTACCATGAATAGCTCTTAAGTAATGAACCAGTTGCTCTCACACTCCTTGTATCTTTACAATGGATTACTGCTTGAAATATCTTTTTTCATCCTTGCTTATACAAAAAAGTGAAGAACATTAAGCAGTGGTGGTTGTTCAGCTAGACTCGAGTCTAGATGTGGTACAAAGAATTGAAAAAAAAGGCTTTGTGGTTTTTTGTCCAGTAGCAGCTAAAAGCAAGTTCTGTGGAGTGAAGCA